TACACTTAATCTTGATTGTTTAAATCAAGACCAAACAGGTTAAGCCTTTTTATAATGATTCAGGGTCATCACTATGAATGTAACAATGGCTCTTGGGAACTACTGGGTTCTCGAGTGGTATCTGTCCTACATTCAGTAGCAAAGAATTGCTAACTTTTTTCTCTTGCCAGCTTTTTCTTCCTCTTCTCTTGCTATAAAACCATCAACTGTAATTTCCCAGCATTAAGGGTGCCTGCCTTTTGTAGCACCTACAACTTTATATTCCTACTTTGCTATAAATATTCTTCTAAGAGGAAGTTTAACTTACTCTTAATGTACTTAGTTTAAGTATGTTTATAAGAAGTCTATGTAAATTAAGAGTTAATAGGCTTCAAATAAGGATATAACCTAAAGATGATTTGTACAACTTGGATGATTCTGTTACAGTTTGTCAATGTTGCAATATAAATGAACTCCAAAGAGGATGAATTCTTGATTGTATCTCAAGTCTTAGCTGTCAAGACTCAGCATCAGAAACTGCATACGCTGTTTCTCTTATTATTTCATAGAAAGAGATGGACAAGGAACCAAGGATCTTATTCTAGTGCAGGTTCTTATACCCACCAGTGTTGTAACATTTAGCCTCGTTATTAAATTATAGCACAAACGCAAAAACATTCTGTGAATTATAAAACATTACTGGAAAAGTAAAAGATTATTCTGGTATTGTGCTTATATGACCTTGAATTAATATAAATATTAATTGAGAAAATTCATACCAGATTCAGAGGTTGAGGGAAATAAGGAGTTGTTGGCCAAACAGTATAAAATGTCAGGAGAATACATTCTGGAGCTCTATTGTACAGTTAATAATATTATATTAATACACTTACAAATTGCTAAGACAGTGAAATGTTAAATGTTTTCACCATGAAAGAAAAAGTATGACAGATGATGGATACATTAGCTTCATTTAATCTTTTCTACAATGTTACACATATATCCAGTCATCATGTTGCACACCATTAATATATACAATTTTTGTCAATAAAAGTAAATTTTTTTGCTAGCAAGGATGCCAAGGGGAATTTTTATGCACTGTTGGTGGGAATGTAAATTAGTATAGCTATTATGAAACAGTATGAAGTTTCTTCAAAAAACCAGAAACAACTGCCATATGACCCAGAAATTCCACTACTGGATGTATATCCAAAGGACATAAAATCGGTACATCAAAGAAACATCTGCACTCACATGTCTATTGCAGCACCATTCACAATAGTCAAGCTATGGTATCAACCTAGGTGTGCATCAACAGATAAAGAAAATACGATATATATCTCAGCAAAAAAATTTGTCACTTGCAGCAAAATAGATGGAATTAGAGAATATTATATTAAGGCACAGAAAGACAAATATGGCATGTTCTCTTTTATATGTGAAAGCTAAAAAACTGATCTCACAGAAGTCAGAGAATAGTGACTACCAGAGCCTAGGAAAGGTGTAGAGGAAAGGAGAGAGGATAGCTGATATAAGAGTACAGTTAAATAGGAGAAATACCTTGCAGTATTCCACAACACAGTTGGATAACTATGGTTGGCAATAATTACATATTTCAAAATAACTAGCAGAGAGAATTTTGAATTTCCCCATCACAAAGCAATGATAAATGCCTAAAGTGATAGCTATTCCAATTATCCTCATCTCATCATTATACATTGTATACACATTTCAAATCATCACTGTCCTGTCTCCCTTAAGTATGTACAATTACTGGGTCAATTAAAACTAAAAACAAAAATAATTTTTAAATGAAAGATAAATTACAAAGCCAGGTGTGGTGTTGCATGCCTGTAATCCCAGCACTTGGGAGACTATGGCAGGATTGCCCCAGATTTGATGCCAGCCTAGGCGACACCGTGAGTTCAGGCCAGCCTAAACCACCCAGAGAGATGCTGTCTCAAAAAAAAAATTAAAAAACAAAAAATTTAAAACACAGAAAGAAAATTCATACCAAAAAAGAATAGAGGGGAAAAAATAATCTTTGTTGTTGTTGTTGTTACTAGGTAGTGAACCCAGGGTGTCTCACATGCTAAACACTAACTAGCTCTTACCACTGAACCACTGAAGTATACCTCCAGTCCTACGAAGCATTTATTTTCTAGGAAGAACAATATATTCCAAGAATTGACATCTAATTTCTTTATTCCTATATTCAATCAATCCCGCAGTCCTTTAAGTGTTTTCTACAATCTCTGATATATGTCCCTTTATCCCATTGCCAATTCAAAACTCCCAGTTCAGGCAGCTGCTTTTTGACATCTGGGCCACAACAGCCTCTATTGGGTTCTTCTCATGACTTTCTCTCTTCCTGAAATCCCTCTGGTTCATAGCTCCTAGATAAATTTTCTTAAAACACTACTGTGGGCACATCTGTCTAAAACCTTTGAGGACTCTCCATTACCTTCTCCATCAAGTTCAAACACTTAAGCTCAGATTTTGCTGCACAGCTCTATGTCCTCACCTTTATCTCTTCCTAGTCTTCCAAATCAGTCCTCAAGCTGGCCTATTCTTCAGATATGCCATGTAGTTTTTTGTCTTTTACTCTTAGTGCATACAGCTTCTCTCCCAGGATACTCTCTGGGAAAGATGGCAGATTTTAAAGTTAGGTAATCTGGGCTTGAATTACAACTCTACTCCCTCACTGGCTGAGTGGCACAGGGCATGGTCCTTAATATCTTCTTGCCTCAGTTTCTTAATACATAATATGGGGATAAGAGCAACTCGCTTTAGGCATATTATGAGGAGTAAATGAGTTAATCCATTTATATAAAGCACTTTACATGATGCCTGGACCCAAGAGATACAAGGTATTATTATTACTCTTATTATTACTGCAATTAGTGAATTTATCTTAATCGGAATTCAGACAGTATGTAGGATCATTATGAACTCACTTCTCACATACATATAGTATCATTCCTCTTGCTGTCCTTTTCTTGGTTTTGTGGTTTTTTGTTTTTTTTTTTTTTGTAACCGGAATCGAACTCAGGACCTTGTGCTTGCCAGGCAGGCGCTGTGCCGCTGTTGCTCTCTTTTTCTAATCTCCCACCTCATGTTTGTTTTCCCTCTGCTGCCCCTGACACCCAAATTATGTGGTCCTGATGGTCAAGTAAATGTCTTATACATCTTAATATGTATAATGGCCTAGAAAGGTGATCAATTGTTTAGTACCTAATGCAGGACTACTGAAGAACTAATAGTATTAACATGTTCCACATCCTATAGTGAAAACAGTATTCATGGAAAAAAATTAAATTTCTAGCCTCACAAAATTAAGTTCTTTTTTATGATTCTCTAGGTTCCTTTACACCTTCTCTTTTAAAACAACCAACGCAACCAATTCATGCAGCAAGAGATACAACAGCAAAATATATGCAATTCAGACAGTAGCCAAACACTGGAGCACAAGGACCATGAGACAACTTAGCTGCCATACAGCTCTGGATGAATTCAAATTTAAAAGGAAAGATAACTGACTTATCAGTCACGCTAACAACGCTAATTGTTACATGTACCAGTGCCAGGATTCCTTTGTACCCAAGGCTAAGTGTAAACAACTGAAATGACTGGGCTAGCACATATAGAAATATTAGTGATTTAGCTTAACAACTGAGTTTACCACATGATCAATTTAATTACCTATGTCAAAAGTGACTATAAACATACCTCAAGATTCTAAAGTAACCCATGTTTTGGCTAATGAAGCCAAATCAAGTAGATAGGGATATACTGTGTACTAACCAATCACCTCCAGAAATTGGTATGATAACAACTTAATAAATGTACTATTCTTCTAATGTACTAAACCATTTTCAACAATGCCCAGAGAAAATATTGTTACTGTAATACTGGTTTCTAGTCTGTACACATGTACTAACCCTTAATTGCTCTCTCAGCCAAAAATCTGGCCTCCTAACCACAAACCTTGGAGTTTACTTGTGGAGTGAATTAAGATGGTCTGAAGGTATGCTAATGACTTTCCAAAATCTACCCTGAAAAATACTGCACATAAAAACAAAATATATTAAATTTCTATTCCTATGGTACCTGTCTTTAGAAGACCCTAAAATGTTTTGCCAGCTTTAAAGTGCAATAATTCTCAAGTCATAGAATCTTAAAGACAGAGCCTTAAAGTCCCCTCCTGCAGGAATTCTTTAAACCACCTCCCAGGCGAAAGGTCCTCCAGCCTTTGCTTGAATACTTGCACTTCCAGAAACAGATACTCAATATACTACAAGGCAGTGTACTCCATTGTTATAAAATTCTTTTCAATCACTGGAAATCTGCCTTCTTAAACTTCTATCAAAGAATCCTAGTTCTTGTCTGCTCTCTGGAACACCACAGATAAGTTAACCTTTTAAATACAATCACTTCTTCAATTAAGATAAAATTGTCAAGTTGGTCACACAAAATGCAGAAGAAAACTCAGAAAAGATGAAAACAAAGCTATGCACACACAAAAAAACAAATTCAAGAAGCTACTTAAATTCACAGGTCAGCATTTTAAAAAAAATATCAAACCATATGTTCCGGTTAATACATAAATTCTAATTTTTTTTATACAACGGGAGGTGGTATAGTGTTTATTGAATACCTCTTTGCAACTTAATACTACTAAATCCACCGACACTACTTTTAAAATTACAATTCTGTAGGAAATTCAATACAGTTTTCTCATTTTCATTTAGTCTACATCTCCCTAAAACACCTAGATGTTTAGGGTTTTCAAGTCCATTTCGCTCCACTGGTGCAATATTTTATTTTTAAATAAATATTTTCAAAAATGAAGTCTAGGAGAATAGTTGTAAAGGAATGGGGCTGAGGCAAAGACAGGCCCAGCAGGAAAAAGGTAGATACTGTTTATTTTCCATCGGGAAGCATGCTTTATTGGCATAGGCATCTGAAGTAATAAGCCATTTAAACACGACCTTAGAACAAGAATGATTGCGTGCAATGAATGTAAGACATAAATGTCCGTAAGATGGACATGAATTGATATTGCTCATTGAAGAGCACCAGATGCTTCAGGACCTCGTTGAAGAAAGGTAAGAAGTCGAAGAGGAGATCCAACTGCCACCGTTTGGGGAAGGGAAGAAACCAAGGAATAACTACCGTTCAGCAGTCCAGTGAAGCTTGAACAGTACAGAGCTCAAGAAAGACGGCAAGTGACTGGGTGGGCAGGCACACACCCGCGCGAGTCTGAAGAAGGGTAAGCAGTGTGCAAATACTGAACGGGTTCCTGAAATAGTGTGGGTGAGAGGATATGCGTATGGGCAAGGGCCAACACTGGAGACCCTCGGTCCCCTCCCTGCAGCGGAGCAACAGAGGGTAAAGAAGGGGGAGGGTGAAAAGCAAGAATGACTCATTCTCCAAAGGAAATGCTCAAGCATTAGAAGGCATGCCACCGGGGATTTCAGGGCGAGGACTGTGAGAAGCTGGGTGCTTAGGGTGATGGGGGCAATAAACCAACGTCTTGCAGTTCCTGCTGCTCCTCTGTAAGAAGAGGGTGTGGGGGGTTCGCGGCAGCGGAGTGCCAAGGCCTGGGAAGCGGCGCGGCGCGTGCGCAGTGGCGTTCGGCGGGACCCGCTGAGGCAAAGCGGAGCCGCAGTGACAGAAGCAAGCGGAGCGGCCGCCCAGAGGGACTCACCGAGGCGCAGGGGCTGGAGGTGGTGCTGGGGGTAGGCGACCGCTGGACCGTGACCAAAGCCATCTAGGTGCTGCTAGGTTGTTCCGGGCAGGGCATTCTCGTCTTGAGTGTGGGGGGGTGACGGAGCCGGGAAGAGGGTAAAGGGTACTGGGTAGGGGTGAGGGGAACGGGGAGGAAGAGGAGGCCGCGGGAACGATCTCAAGATCCGCACCCACCACTGGACTCTTCGCCGACTGACGCGCCGAACGGGCGGCGGGCGGGCAGCTCAGCAGCTGCGGGGCACAATGAGCGCTCCCAATGCGCAGGCGCCACCTGTCAGCAACCGCCTCTCCCCTCAGCGCGCGCCGCCGCTTCGTTTTAACCCTTGGACTGCCGGAAGCTGGCAGTGTGCGTGCGCCTCGGGCCGCCGCCCCCTCCCGGGTTTCCTTCCTGGGGCTGGCGCCGAGGCCTTGCGGAGTGGGGGTGGGGGGTGGGGCTAAGGCGCCGAAAGCCGCCTGCAGAGTAAGGAAGGAGTCCTGGGCCGGGGGCCGCTAGAGTCCTCATTCCTGAGAGACAACCATTTTATGAGGTGGGGCGTACAGCCTAGCCAGCCTTAGAGAAAAGAAACTGAGATGGAAATCAGAGGCAAACACGTTTTCTGGTGGGAAAAGGTTCTGTGGGGCTTCGAACGCGTTCACTGGGCGTGTGTGAGACTGGGCTAGATGAGGAGTCAGTTTCCCCCCTTTGACCCAGCCCTGTTGGGGGGGGCGACAGGGGGGGGATTCTGAGCTTTCCCACCTTTCTGTCCGTGTTTTATGACTAGACTTTTTGAAATAATTTTCTTCGTAAACCCTTGAAAACTTCATGGTACCTGCATGCATCCTCTTATTACCTGTCTAAAGTCATTCATCACCCCTGAGGTTAAAAAGACGCTGTCAGGGGAGGCCGACAAAGCTGGGCTCACCGAGTTGTAAAGGTCTTACTTGCTGTTTACCTCCTATTTGCTTCCTGCTGTGAAGAAATTATAATTAAATTTGATCTTTGAGCTCTCTTCTTCTTCGTCTCTAGATTACATTATTTCAGAGACATAAGTGAAAATTAGATTAAAAATATTTTAAAGGAATAATTTTCTAAAAGATCAACTATCCACAGTACATAAGCCAAGAATATAATTGAAGAGCAAGATTAAAAAGGGAAAAAAACCCCTCCCAATGTAAACACCGCTTAGTATTTACACAGGGAAAGAATTGACAAAGCTCTTTCTTTCTGAGTGGATGAGCTGGTAAATACCACCATACATATCAAAGCTGTAGAAAACACACACAGGAGTTTGCATTTACTAAAACCCACCTTCTATTTATCACTCACTCTTGGATCTTACTCCTTTTAAACTCACAGGGCTGTCATGAGCTGTTTCTGGTTGCTGTACGGTTAAGTGCCACAAGAGCCCTCTGTACTGAGCCTTTGTTCTCTCCCTGGGGCCCTGTGGTTGAAATAATTAGCAGGGAGGTTCCATCAAGAATCAGACACTGAGGGTCCCTGTACTGTACAGTCCTGTATAGAATGTATTGCAGAGAAGCCATCTGGTAGGCTTTTGCCCCCTGGTGGTGATCAAGAGCGCCTGCGATAAAAATTAAACAAAGATGCGTACATGGTTCACAGATTAAACAATCTGACCGTGTTTTTCCCAGAGCTCCGTAGTAAACAGGAAGAGAAGAGAAAGTTCATAAGTCAGAACTTTGAACCAATGCTTTAGAGACCAAACAGGAAGCTGCATACAGAGCCAATAAATACAGCATACATAGCTGAAAACTGAATGATCTCAAATGAAGGATGTGGTTTATAAACTGATGGATCATTTTTGAAAAATATTATTCAAATCAGTAAATGTTAATGATGCATGTTGACTCTCACTGACATAGGAATGGCAAGACCAATTATCTGCTTATGTGTAATAACTTACTATTAAATTCATCTGGGGCTGAGAATGTAGCTTAGTGGTAGAGGATTTGCTCAGCATATGTGAAGCCCTGGGTTCAATCTCCAGCACCATAGATAAAAAGGAAAAAATTTCCATCTGGAAGACGAGAAGCTTAATTTTACTAATTTTACAGAGGGAAAGAGCACTACCGTACAAATCAGAAGAGCTAGTTTCTAGTTCTGGCTCTTAACTTTATGCAAATAACTTGGACATCTTGGGCTTTAGTTTATCTCTACAACAGAACTCTAACTTACAGGATTTTTGTGCTCATATGAGATAATGTATGGTAATATAAAAATTGAAAGGCTCTGCATGCAGTTAGGATTACTTTGTATTCCTTATAGTTTGTTCCATGTTAGTTCACTTTTATATGCAGAAAATAATTTAAGCAAAAGAAAAACAAAAAGACATGATTCACACCTTTTCTTTTTTCTTGGTTTTGTTTTTTTTTTTTTTTTTTTTTTTTTTTTTTTTTTTTT